GAAAGATATCAGGAAATGTTTTAAAATTCATTTCGCGCTTATGTATGTATGTACATCTGTACAAGGGTGATCCATCTAGATATTTTTTTTACCAACTTTCTTATTTTAAAAAATAATTCACTCAAATGTTGCTGGTAAAGTATTACTTCTGAGCCGCTTTACAAAGTAAGTTACGTATAATGCAGATCAGTCGCTCGGAGTAGTTCGGCGTTTGCAAACTAACAATGTAATGCGTCGTCGGAGGTGGTCAATTTGTTGCTTTACTAGTAGATGACATTGGTCATGATGACAATTTTGGTACTAAAAACTGAAAGAAAACATGGCTTACCTCGTAAGGTGCTTACCTATTTTCCCAATGGGTTTGTTTATAGGTAACTCTTGAAGTCATTTGTGATTGTGTTTGAGATTTGCAAACGAAAATGTAATTGTATTGGAGTATAGGGTAAATTGTTCTGGTAGGGTTCTGTATTATCGTAACGATATGTATGTATGTATATCAGGCATGCCCAGCGCAGGGCACTTGCCTATACAATTCTGCCAGCGTAGGGCACTTGCTTATGGAGTTTTGCCGGCGTTGGGCATATATACATGTATATCAAAACGATAGTAAAAATCAAAAATAAAAATTGATATCACATCACATCTAAAAATATTAGCAATATACGCCCCCAAGCGCATAAACATGATTATTTTATGCCAATTTTCTTGCTCCAGCATATGTACTGGCACTAATATGTGCATACATATGTATGTATGTGAGTGGCATGGAAACGGAAAGCTTAATCACATCATTAAAACTTAGAAATACAATATTTGATTACGTTTTCCCCCTTTTTTGGTCAAATATTCTATATATTCTGAAAGTATTCAACTCGGAACCCGCTGGTGGTAGCAGAGGAAGAGGGAGGCCCCCACTGCGATGGAAAGATCAGGTGGAGAAGGACTTGGCTTCACTTGGCGTTTCCAATTGGCGTCAGTTGGCACAGAGGAGAAACGACTGGCGTGCTTTGCTGAACTCGGCCAAAATCGCTTAGGCGGTTACAGCGCCAAAAAAGAAGAAGAGAAGATTCTCTATATACAGTCGAAGCATATAACATACCAGCATGCTGGTACAATATTTATTTGTTTACAAATGAGGTGCGGAAAAGATCGAAATGAGTAGAGGCGAAATTTCATAATATTTCTACCATTTGGTTAAACATCGGCTTTTTTATTTCACAACTGCAATATTATTAACTTTAATCTTCCATAAACACGGCTTTGACTCATATAGTGCAAGAAATTTAAGCCAAAATACCTTTTACTTGAGCTAGTTTCACCATTCACGACACCAGCATGCTGTTACAATCATAAAAATATCAAATCGTTTTTGATGTCATGCCAGCAGCTGGTATCATGTATGGGCCCTTTTATAGAGCGCAATATTTCGTTTTATATAATTTATCCTTTTTATTGTCAGTGTCGTTAACAATAACGTTTTTTTTATGAAAATATGTACTATATTTCATGATAATTTTTTGCTTACTCGTTCATATAGTAAAATGTAGGTTTTGTTTTGAAGGAAACCAACAAGAATTAAGTGCGATACTTAGTCAAAAGTTGTATGGCTTTAATCTATATATAATTGCTCAGTCATACGACTTAGTTAGGGCGATCTGGAGCAGCTACAGAATTGAATTATATGTCAAATTGAAGTGCAAGCAGCGGAGGTTGGTCAAAATCTGTCGGATTTTAGATCGGTGAATTCGGTGAAAAAATAAGCATTTAAATATTCCCTTAAGGTATTCTGAACGTATTATATTCTACGTTTATATAATTCAGCGTCTGATATATTGGGTAATTTTTCTTCGTACTATAAATATTCGATTTTTCGTAAGAAACAGCTTTTGTCATTAAGAGAAAAATTGTCTGAGAAAACTATAACAAAAAAATTAAATTTTCTGGTTGCAGTTGACCGTGTTTTTCATAAAAGTGCAAAGTTTCAGAAAACTAGACAGTGATCACTGTAATCTATTGAAAAATATTAACCAATTTTCAGTGGAATTGAGATTCGAAACTAATAAAGTTATTATTTAATTTTGAAATATATCTCTCGAAAGAAAAACATTGAAATCTCTTTCTTTTTTTTACAACCTAGAGTACTCTCCAACAAAAACTACGAGCTTTATAAAGTTTTTGATTTCATTTTTGAAATGAACGATCCAAGGTTAGCAGGTATACATACATATTTTCAAATTTATTAGATTCAGCTTTTGATTTTTGTACTAAAGTTAATAAAGCATTAGTTTAGAAGTATGAAAAGCATTTAGTGCCTTTCACCATAATACGGCGCACATTTTAAGTGATAATTTATTTTGCAATTATAATTAATAAAACCCTTGGACAGACATTGTGGAAGGTTCGACTTTACCTTGAAGAATACTGATATACTCACGGCCTACTGTACGCTGCCATGCGAAGAGTAAGGTCCTTTAAAATCTTAAAAATCAAGATGGGTTTTCAGGTCTCTAGCAATACGAAGTTAAATGTTGTTTTTTTCCGAAGATACATTTTGAGCCATGCACTTATGTAGGTATATTCATGAATATCACGCTTTATTTTTTACTTAAATTTAAATACTTAATATCGGCAATTATTTCTTTAATGCATTGCCCCAAATTTCGGGGGGTTATTACTAGTATGTATAAATAGTAAATGTAAAATAACTTTTTAGGCAGTTATATATTTGCGTGTTTATATTCTACTAAGCAGTTTTCATTTCCATTTACTTATTTTCAGTTATCATTGGTCCATTCCAATCACGTATTACACAAGTGACAACGCTGATGTTGAGCGTACAATTTTCAATTATAATGATAACGAGGGTAAACATATTGACTTGTTACTTAATTTAAATATGAAACATAATTCAAACACAATTATCTTCATTCACGCAATACAGTCAAAATAACTCTTAACTCCACTGCTGATTGGATTAAATTTAACAAAAATCAAGTCGGCTATTATCGTGTTAATTATGCGCCTGAGCAGTGGCAGCAACTAACGAACGCCCTAATTAGCGCCCGTGGTCAGTTCAGCAATGCCGATCGCGCACATCTCATCAATGATGCATTCTCTTTGGCCGATGCTTCACAGCTGGACTACAGCATTGCACTGAACTTAGTGTTATACCTGGAAAAAGAGTTAGACTATGTGCCATGGAGTGTGGCTAGTTCGCGTCTCTTAGATATCAGTAATCTGCTCTACTACACCGATTCATATCGCGACTTCGTAGTTTTCGCACGCAAACTAATAGTGAATGCCTATGAAAATATCACATGGACAGTGAGCACTGTTCATTTGGATAAGTAAATATTTTTAGAAGAGGGATTATTTATCATATCAAATTGCTGATTTACAATTAAACTTTATTTCAGTCTATTACGTGTAAGTTTACTAAATTTGGCCGGCCGTTTCGGTTATGAGCCCATGTTGAAGGAGGCAGCTACTCGTTTTACCGCTTGGCTTAGCAATTCCACTGACAGACCTGATCCGGATATACGTTGGGCTGTGTATTACTTTGGCATGCAAAGTGTAGGCGATGAAAAGTCATGGGATCAGATATGGGAGTTATTCATTAACGAACAAGATGCGCAAGAGAAAGTCAAATTGATGGAAGCTTTGTCGGCAGTAAATTCACCGTGGATATTACAACGGTAAGTAGCGCTGTTGAAAAGTGTTGAAATTCTCTTTTGACGATAATATATTTACTGTTTATTCAGTTACATCAACTTGGCATGGAACGAGAGCTATGTACGTAGCCAAGATTATTTCACTTGCCTCTCGTATATATCACGCAATCGCATTGGACAAAGTTTGGTGTGGGATTATGTGCGCGAGAATTGGCCGAATTTAGTTGAGCGCTTCGGCATTAACGAACGTTATTTGGGCCGATTGATTCCAACGATTACGGCGCGATTTGTCACACAAACGAAATTGGAGGAAATGGAGGCATTCTTTGCCAAATATCCAGAAGCTGGTGCTGGTACCGCAGCACGAAAACAAGCTCTGGAAACAGTCAAGTTCAATATCAAATGGCTGCAGCAGAATAAGGAGAAAATTGCGCAGTGGCTATCAGAGCAAATCACGGTTGATGAAAGTATAACGACGACAACTGTGGAGCGGACAACTCAGCCGGCTAGCACCCAGTAAATTTCCGAATTTATAAATAACGTATTCCACCCAAAGTCATGATAATTGCGTGATTTTATTAAAGCTTTTGTTTATTTTTTACTCAAATAGTATTTTACAGTATGAATTTATGTAACTACTATACATGAAAA